TAACCTACAACCGTAATAGTTTTTTGTTTTGTTTTTTGTTTTTGAGACAGGGTCTCACTGTGTAGTACAAGTTGGCTTTGACTTCACTATATAGTTCAGACTGGCCTCCAACTCTTGGCAAGCTTCCTGCCTCAGCCTCCCAAGTGCTAGGATTACAAGTATGTGCCACCACATCCAGCCATTAATATATATACATTTGGTACCAGGAATTGAACTCAAGACCTTGTGCTTGCCAGGAAGGCACTGTGCCACCAAGCTATATCCTCAGCCCCATAATATTCTTGATGTATCTAGACAAGTTTATTTTCAGATAATAATAGAGTAATTTTTAAAAGAAAAAAAAAGTTTATTTTCAGAATATATGATTAAGCCATGAAAGTGGGCAATATATTTTGAGTTTTCTTCTTCCAATAGATTGGCCTTGTAAATTGAAACAGCAAGTTAGACTAATTCATAGAAGACATCTAAAAGTCAAGTGGAAACATTTGAAATGTCTTTAAGAGTTTCTGGCGGGAGGGGGCGGTGCAAGCCCGTAATACCAGCATTCACCTGTAATCCCAGCACGTGGGAGGCTGAGGCGGGAGGATTCTTGTGAGTTTGAGGCTAGGCTGGGCTATAGAGTGAGCTCAAGGCAGCCTGAACTGCATAGTGAGGCCCTGTCTCGAAGAGGCCCTGCCTAAAAAAAAAAAAAAAATTCATGTCTGCCCAACATGGTGGCACATGCCTCTAATTCCAGCACTTGGGAGGCTGAGGCAGGAGGATTGCTTTGAGTTCAAGGCCAGCCTGGGCTACAAAATGAATTAAAGGCCAGCCTGAATTGCACAGTGAAACCTTGTCTCAAAAAAAAAAGAAAAAAAGTTAAAAAAGGTACATGTCTATGATAGTCCTCAGAATATTACAGAGTTCAAGATTCCCATTAAGCTCAATGATCTTTCAAAAGGTGGCTGGATGGGGGCGGGGGATTTAGCTCAGCAGCACAGCGCTTGCCAGGCAAGTGCGAGGTGATGAGTTCCATTCCTGGTACCGGAAAACAAACAAACAAAAACAATCAAAAGGTGGCTGGAAAAGACAATTAACAAACAAAAACAATCAAAAGGTGGCTGGAAAAGACAATTACATATTTGAGGAACCATTAAGTTTAAAGGTCTTTGGAACAGAAGGGTAAGATATGTATTTCTACGATTAGATTGTAGACACAGGTAAAAAGTACATCTTAAAGCTGTGGTCTGGAAGATCAGCTCTTTAAAGATACATAAAATTAATATTAATCTAGAACTTAGTGTGCTCCATCAGGGTCACCAAAACAAATCTCAGCTAGCCTCCTTAGCAAAAATCTCAGGATCACACACTAGCTCACTGGAGTAGTACAGTATTCTTTGGTGGGGATACATCTTTTAATTCTGGGAAGATATACAGTTAAGCACAAAGACATTTAAGAGCTATGGCCTAAAAAAAAAAAATAAGAGCTATGGTTTGAATGTTTGTGTCCCTTTCAAATTTCATACTGAAACTTAATTCCCAGAGCAACAGTAGTAAGAGGCAGAGCCTGTTTAGGTTATTAGCCATAAGGCTCTCATGGAAGGGCTCTCAAGACCTTATAAAAGGACTTGAGTCTCTTTTGTCCCTTCCATCCCTTTGGCTATGTAAAGACACAGCATTCATCCACTTTGGAGAATTTCCCAACATGGGTGCCATCTTGAGAGCAGAGACAGGCTTTCACCTGCCACTGCTAGTGTCTTTATCTTGGACTTGCCAACATTTACAACTGTGAGAAATATATTTCTGTACTTTATAAATTACCCATTCTCAAGTACTTTGTTATAGCAGCACAAATGGATTAAGACAGGAAAAGTTTGGAATTAAGTAAAATAAAAAGTTTTTGTTCTGAGAGCCGAGTGTAGTGGCACATGCCTGTAAGCCAGCTACTTGAGAGCCTGAGGTGGGAAAACTGCAGGAGCATGTGGTTGGAGCACAGCCTTCTGTCTCAAAAAAAGAGAAGCTAGGCATGGTAGTGTTATAGGCAGCTGAGTTAGATAGAAATATTATAGGCAGTCAGACAGGGCCAGGCCCTCGAAGGAGCCAACATGAAAGATACACATTTGCTGTGGGCCAGACTTCAATACAAAGGACTAAACAAGAGCACCTACATACCTCCCTGGGGATGGACATCAGGGATTGATATTCTAAATAGGTAGCATCACCTTGAAGAATCCTTGACCCAGCCCCTTACAGAAAAAGCCCGTTCTGTATTCATGCCCGCTTGCAACCTGACTCGCTTCCCAATTTGATCCCAATTTAATCAATTTTACCTGAACAATTCTTATTGGCTGACCACAGTTTTGTCCATTTTTCTCCTACCTTGGACCCACCTCACCTCGTGGTTTTGCTCTATAAAAGTCCCTAGAAAAGACAGAGTCTTGGGGTAACCCACTCGGGCCCCTCTCCTGTCCCTCTCTTGGACAGAAGCTTTCTTTTCTTTCTCTCAATAAATATATTCTGCTCTTAACCTCCATCGTTCCTAAAATTCATTCTTTGATTTTAGAGAACACGAACTTGTCCCAGATATCATTCAGGTTGGGAGTTTTTATTTTCCGGTAGCAGTAGCCCACTCCTGTGACCTCAGCACTGGGGAGGCTGAGGTAGGCGGATCACTGAGTTCCAGGGTAACCTGGGCTCCATAGTGAGTTCAGGTCAGCCAGGACTAGATAGCAAAACCCTGTCTTAAAAAATAAACAAACAAAATGAAGAGAATCAAAACCATAGTTGGAGCCAGGCGTGGTGGCACACACCTATAATCCCAGCACATGGGAGGTGACTGAGTGAGGCAGAAGGACTGCCACAAGTTCATAGCCAGCCACAGCTACTTAGCTGAGTTCAAGGCCAGTCTAAACAACATAGTGAGACCCTGTCTCAAAACACACACAAAAAAGACGGTATCTGCATAAAGTCCACTGGAGGTAAAAGACTTGTGTCTGTCTGAGGAAAGAGAATTTCTGGCAAACGAACAGCAAGCACAAAGGCCCTGAGGTGGAGCAGGCAAGCCGATGTTAGAGGAACATTTAGAACATTAAAGAGGGGTACAGCCGGGGCGTGGTTGCACATTCCTGTAATTCCAGCACTTGGAAGGCTGAGGTAGTAGGATTGCTGGGAGTTCGAGGCCAGCCTGCGCTACAAGGTGAGTTCAAGGCCTGCCTGGACTACAGTGAGACTCTTGTCTCAAAAGACAAAAAACAAAAAACCAAAAAAAAAAAAAAAACCAAAAAAGGAGGGGTAGAAGGGCAATGGGAGATAATCACAAAGGGAGGGTAAAAAAAAAAAAAGGGAGGGCAGATTTCGAGGAGGGAGTGGGAACCGTCCCCACAGAGCTCTGCAGACTGCGATGGGGCCTTTCGCTGGCCCTGGGCTTTGTAGTTTAGGCTGGTCTCAACTCGAGACGATGCTCCTGCCTCAGCCTCCCAAGTGCTGGGATTACAGGTGTGCACCACCGCGTCCCGCAACCACTGCTCAGTTTAGAGCAGAGAAGTAACAACAACTTCCTAGGGGGACAGGCTCAAAGAAGCACATCAGAGCCAGAGACAGTGGCACATACCTGTAACCCTAGCTATAGTGGACGCTGAAGCAGAAAACTAGAATGTTAAAGACCAGCCTGGCCGACTTAGTAGGACCCTGCCTCAAGATCAAATATAAAGGGCTAGAGGTGTAGATCAGGGGTACAGCACTCACCTGGCATGTGTGAGACCGTGGGTTCGATCCCCCGTACTGAAAAGAAAAAAAGAAAAAAACCAAAAACTTATATGGCACTGAAAGGGTTAAGGCTATTAGAAATTGTTTTATATAAAAATGCGATTTAAATGATGAAGATCAGGGAAGGTTTTTACAGCTTCAGCAGGAGGTTCTCACCACACTGCGCTTAGCAGGCTTTCCTCTGTCAGGTGGGGATCAATAGTCCGACTAGGTGGCTTTATGTGAAATCAGGTGAAAGATTCCATACAAGTGAAAACACTCAATAAAGTTCTGCAAATATAAAGGTTTTTTTTAAGGACAGAAGTGAGATTGGCGTGTGTGCTTAGGATTCCCCTAGATGCGAATCTAATTCCAAACACGTCGCGGAAAGATGTGGAACGTGCCCGCTGGTACAGTCAAGGCTACAGAAGCACATCGGAGCTGGACGCAGCCCAGCCGCCGGCTCGTTTACAGAAAAGCAGGCTCCCGCGGTAGGAGACCCGAACCTACGGTTCCGATGCGTCAGGAGACAGTTGGGCTCCGCGCTCGTTAGGGGCCGTCCTCTCGCCGCCGTTCTGAGCTCAGAACGGGCGCGTCTGATATAACCCGAGGATGGAGCCGGGCTGCCGCCCCGGGATCGCCCCGCCAGGCAGCGCCGCCCCGC